TTCGTAACTCAGGAAGATCTCAAGCAAAAAGGGTTTGTAACCAGTGTTTCGGAAACGTCTTGACACCAGCTTTAAGGATATGTAAAAGAAAATAGGTATTTCCATTTAAGATTTCAAAGTTGATCTTCACGGTGTCCTTCAAGGTTACATGAAGGTCATTTCAACATAACCATATAATAGACCACTTGATATACTAAAACTTTTGTATTGAACATTTTTTTCCATAAGCATTATTTTCCAAGATATTTGACCGTTGCCGAACTTTCTCCCATCACTGTATATCGGTTGTATATATTGTAAGTAATGTATAGATATTAAATATGACCGAAAAATGGTGCCATTATGCATTTTCAAGCAAACAGAACAGCTGTTTCCAGAAAATCCGTTAGTTCACACGTTTTGCTTGTGCATGGTAAAGACACGTGGTTATCGTTGCTCCTCGTTGTTTGTAGTGCGTTGCCCGGTGTTTGTAGTGATATTTATTTGAGAAAATGAACAAAAAGCAATACCAGAATCGAAAATCGAGTCGCGGTGCGCAAACCTCGTCAAAACGGCCATCAATCACAAAGCGAAAAGTATCGAATCGATACATGCAAGAGCAGGAGGCCGAGAACGTCGGAACATCGGCGAAGAAACTGAAATCATCGATTGATAATTTCGATGTTTCGTTTGAAAGTACTTTCGGCTATCGTATACTGTCTTTTACGTCAATATTTTCAGCGCTATCAGAAATTTTAGTCTGTTCTCGATGTCACACGCCAGTAAAATTTACCGAAGCGAGTAAACAAGGCTTAGGTTTCAAACTTGTCGTGAATTGCGAAGATTGTGCTCCAGTTTATATTAATAGTTGCCCTAAAATCAACAATAAAGCCTATGAGATCAATCGCCGAATCGTTTTTACAATGCGCTTACTAGGCATTGGTATAAATGGCATTCGAAAATTCTGTGCGTTCATGGATTTGATTTCAAGCACGATAAGGACGTGCCAATGCAGGTATTTGAAGCAATAGAACCCATTTACGAAGAATTAAGCCGTGATGAACTTTTAATTCGATGTTTGGGCGGATTTACGCAAAATTCAAACGAAAGTTTTAATTCCATCGTGTGGTCAATGGCGCCAAAGACCATTTCTAGTGGAAAAACTGTGCTTGATACAGCAGTATATCTCGCCACTTTATCTTTCAACGACGGTTTCTCTGCAATAATGAAAGTAATGGAACAATTAGACATTGTCATTGGCTTAAATTGCTACAACTTCTGCTGCGAAGCCGACGCCGAACGCGTTAAACAATCAGAACGCTCCCTGACAGAAGAGGCTAAAGAGGCTCGCAGAGAATTAACTTCTACTAGGAAGGATGAAGACGAAGACAATCTTCATTTGGAAAGCCAGTTGTATGGACAGTTGTATAATCGCAGATTAGAGGTAAAATACAAATTTCATTGAAATTCTACTACTTTAAACTTTAAATGCGTTTTTCTCGAAACCATGTTTTTCAAGACGGGCGTACCTCTAGCGCCTACAATTTTTATCCGATTGACTTGAAATTTTAATTGTAGCTTCAAAACATGATTTTCTAGTGCACATCATAGGATTTTTTCGAAAAATTAAAATTTGACGATTCTACAGCCAATTTTCGAGCGATTTTTTTGATAAAAAATACAACAAAAATTCAAATTGATGCCATTTCTTTTAAAAACAATTTTTCGGCAAAATCCTACGATGTGCACTAGGTTTTGGGCTATATTTTAAGAAAAAATTTTGGTTTTTGTTCTAGGTGCAAAATTGCGATCTGTAGCGCCCGATGCGATCAGCGGAAAGTCAAATGCTTTACTGCAAGAGCTGATACGCCGCCATTTTGTTTTTAAAAAATCTGAAAAAAATTTTTTTACGTAGTTAAAGATATGTACTTTCATATGCACCAAGCCGCTTTTTAATAAATCTTTTCATTCTTTCATAATAAATTCCGAAAAATGACCCTACTTTTTCGGCACACAAGGTGTCATTACCCCTTAAATTGGAACATTTTCTTGAAATCTGTAATACTGAGGAAAATTTGGAACTTAAAGTTGCTTATAGAATGAAACAAGAAAATTTAGATAAAAGTAATCATTTTAATAAGATGAAAGTTTCCAGTTCTAAATCCATCTTTTGCCAGCGTTCATCATCTGCTCTTCAACTTTTAGCACTTGTAAAACAAGATTCCTCTTACATCACAACTGCCTGGTTTGTACGTTTGGTTAATCATTGGTTTGATTTGATGACTTCAAGATATTATACTTTAGCATTAAATAAAAATAATAAAGAAACATATGAAAAGGCTATAGCTCATTTAAAACTAACTATGAGAACATTTTCTGGAATGACTATTGGAAAAGATTTACGATGGAAACCAGTGCAGTGTGGAGTCCTGATTGCTACGACTACTATTTTAGATTTATAAAATATCAAGAATATTTTCTTGATAAAGGAAGATTAAAATTTTTATTGACTGGAAGATTCACACAAGATTTCTTAGAAAATCTTTTTTCTTGTATCAGATTTCGTCAAGCAATACTCAATGCTTTGATGTTTAAAAATCTTCTAAAAGCTATTTTAATTGCACAATTTTGTACAATCGAAAGAAGTAGCTATGATACAGACGACGGTGAAATGACTCTTGATTTTTTGACAAATTCACAATGTACAAAATATAACAATCCTGAACTCAATCTTTGTATAGAAATTCCTAGTATGGCTGATGAAAATATTTCCTATTTCTCAATGTGGGAGAGACAAATATTATATGATATGACAGGAAGTACATTAAATAGTGTAAAAAAAGTATATACAATATGTGATACGTGTTACAACGCATTGTTATGGCAGGAGAAAGAGCCACATCCATATGGACTCCTCACAATATTAAATGCTTACAAAGATAATTGTTTAACCCAAGTGTCTGAAGAAGCATTCAAAGCAATATGGAAAGCTGAACTTACATTTAGAATAGTTAGAGAAGATCTCCTGAGAACCGAAAAAGTTAATGTGTATGATACACTTGTACAATCCCTACAATATGTATGGGCATCTATTGTACCCCAATGTCACAACGTAACAACCAAACTATTACGACAATATTTTAGTATGAGATATAAACAGTTCGGACAAATGAAAAGGGAACAACAAAAAAAAGGAACACTTCATACAGTAGCAAAAGTAAAGCCATGCATAATCGGATAAAGTAAAACAAGTTTTTTTTGGTCATGGTAAAAGAATAATACAAATGTAAGTCGCTGTAATGAAATAAAATATATAATAAAATATTGGATAATAAAATCTTGGATATAAGTACAAAAATTCATATAACAATGTATTTATTTTGTTTTCTCCAAAAGAATCACAATACATATTTTTTATATATACAGGGTGCGGCACCAAAATCCGGACAAATCGAACAATTTCTTTAAAGAAAATGTTAATGAAAAATTAAATATTAAAAAAAAATCCTTTTACATGGCACTTGGGGGATCCCTATAGAGCATAATTATTCGATATATCCCCCATTATACTTGAATGACGGCCTCTATTCTCTGTCTGAAGCGTTCGCACGCACGCTGCAATGTAGCACTGTCCATGCCGACGAATGCTGCCTCAATAGCGGTCCTTAATGACGTCACGTTGGCATGCCGAAACTTGTTAGTGACCATTTCTACGCTTCATACATAGTAGTCCAGGGGATTTAAATCTGGGCTGTTGGGAGCCCTTTTGACGACTGCGGGGTTCCTCGTGGTGCGTTCTTTCGAGTGAATCTTCCTCGCTGGCATACTAGAATTTTCGTTGGACTGTTCTGAAGCCGTATATTTTGCCACAACGTCATAAACAGTTGATCTCAGGTATCTAAAAAACCGAATTATTTCAGTTGCTGAGCGCCCAGCGCGAAGGCCTTCGATGATCGCGGCTCTTCGGTTATACTCCGCACTTGGTTTCAACATCGCGGCCATTCTGATAATATGACTGTTTACTAGAAACATTAAGCTTTCTCGGACGCCAACAACAACCACTGGCGGAGGCACAATATAGCGAAATATTTAAATTGAAATTTGTCCGGATTTTGATGCCACACCCTGTACATTAAATATTTAGAATGCTGATATACGATATACATTTCAACATTTTTAATTTTATTTTACAATCTATTTTTTATTTTACAATGATTTCTTTTCTATTCATAAAATCCGAAGATGAATGTAGATTAAAGTACGTTCAAGTTAAGACAAAACATTAAATTAAATATATAAAAAGATTCCTTTGTCTTTCTTTTGTAATAAATTGAATGATCATGTATAATATAAATGTCCATTCGTAAAAGCAAGTCTATATAAGCAAATCAGACTTATCTGCTATTTTGCTTTAAAAAATCTATTATAAATTCAAAATATCAAAATATCAAATATTTTGATTATTTAAACCTAATTTTTTTAATTTTGTCTTATACATTTTATTTTTCTCAGCAATAAAGTTTAATAATTTTTCCTTCCTTTGAATACGAGCTTTTTGGAGTCCAAATTCAACCAATTGTATACCCAATTTTTTTAAAAGTTTCTGTGCTTCCTTTTCCAGTTTTTTTCTCAATGCAAGAAATATGATCCAATATATGTAAAAATTTTGATAGTAAAATATCGTCTTGATAAGCAGATTGCAAAACGTGACACGCATTTTTTACGTAATCTTTTTCACGAAATTGAAGAGAGATAGTTGGAACTGCAGATGATATCAAATGTTTTCGATTGGAATCCTTCCATTGATTTTCGTCAAAATGTAACTAAAATAATAAATATCGGAAAGGAATTCATTAAAAGAATTTCATTTTGCAATATATACTTAAAGATAGCGAAAAGATTACCTCACAAAGATACTTTTCTTCTCCTGGATAATCATCATTAGTATCCTGTATACATTTATTCCACATTATTCTTAACTGTTGATTCTTTGGAAACTTAAACAGATTAAAAAGATTCCTCTCCGAATTTGTGGGACATGATAAAGCAGCGCACTTACAAGTCATTAAAACTACAACAGTAATAATAAACTTATTATTATTAAAAAAAATAAAAACAATTAAAAAAACAAGAAAAATACAATAATTTTAATCAGAAGTTTGAAATGCCTATTACGGTCGACGCTGGATCTTCGTTGCTTAAATCTTTATCCAATTAAGCATGGCTTTACTTTTGCTACTGTATGAAGTGTTCCTTTTTTTTGTTGTTCCCTTTTCATTTGTCCGAACTGTTTATATCTCATACTAAAATATCGTCGTAATAGTTTGGTTGTTACGTTGTGACATTGGGGTACAATAGATGTTGCCCATACATATTGTAGGGATTGTACAAGTGTATCATACACATTAACTTTTTCGGTTCTCAGGAGTCCCCAAAGCTCTGATTGGACGGTTCGTTATTCCCTGTTGCCTGTGCCTATTGCCTGTGTCTATTGTGTTTCCAGCTTAAGACTGGTTAAGAGGATGCTGGAATGAATCAAGGTCGATAAAATCGATTTTGTACCGTCCACTTACGCCCTCTGGAGGCCCAGGGTCTCATTACTTGCATGCGCTATGACTGCTGTGAGCACTCACATTTCCAGCTGTTTCCAGCAGTGATGCACATCTGGCTCCCGAGCACCACGAGAATCAGCCCCACCACTCTCGCTGTCTCGCTCCCTCTCGCGCAGCCGCGAGACAACGAGAGTGGTGAGGCTGATTCTCGTGGTGCCCGGGAGCCAGATGTGCATCAGTGGTTCCAACCGTGCGCCGTTTCCAGTCGCTCGCAAGTTTGCTCACATGTGTGAACATTTAGACAGAACGCAGTCTGAAATATGATTGCGTCCTAATGCCCGTGTCACACTACGGATTGCGAATGCGAATCGGATTGGGATTGCGGATCGTCGGATTTGGATTCTTCGTTCATACTACGGACCATGGTACGGACTACGGATTCAATTTGCAACATATGCTGTATCGCAAATATCGTGTCGTCGACGTTTGCTGTGTACATTCTCTCTCGATAAAACGGTTTTAAAAGTTGCGTCCCGAAATTTGGGACCCATTGTATGAGTTATGATGGTAACATTCACAGGTAACCTAACCACACAAACGATGCTTATTCATCCATCATAAATGGGTCACGTGACCAAACTCGATGTTTTATTGGCTTGGATTACGATTACGGATCGCAAAAATAGAGAGCCGTCTATTCTGTAATCTACAATCCGGATCCGAAACTGCCTTGTCTTGATTGGCTGAGTTCCGACCCGCGATCCGCAATCCCAATCCGATCCGCGTTCGCAATCCGTAGTGTGACACGGGCATAAGTCACATTGTCAATACTAAAAATCTGTAATATATGTGACGTAAAATACAGATTTTACTGACAGTATATACGGTCGTAGCACTTTTCGTTATGGTCCAATGCCATTTTAGGTTACCCAATGTGTCAAAATGTGTCATATGAATACATATATTGCACATATATGTATTGTAACTATGAAATTGCTTCACCGCTTTTTGCTAAAGAGATTAAAGTCTACTGATATACAGGGTCATCGAAAAGTAACGGACTCCCCTAATATCTTCAGTTAGAATGCATTTTGGAGAAAATGTCCAACAGCAAAGTTGTATGGTTTCAAGCGAGGAGTAAGATGATGGCCTTGACTTTGATCTTGACCATGTCCTTTAAGGTCATTTCAAGGTCAACCTTATTTTTTTAAATGGAACCCCCTACATTTTATTGCATATTTTTATAACTTATCCCGAGAGCTTTCCAAAACACAAAATAAAACATTTTTTCATTAAGTATTTTTTGAGTTATAAAGGTTTGAAATTAACAATTTGTTAAGTGGCGTGTGATTCCGGCCAGTTAAGGCAAGAGTGGCGTGTAGGTCCGGCCAGTTAAGGCAAGAGTGGCGTGTGGGTCCGGCCAGTTAAGGCGAATTTCATTCCAGTTGGTCAGCTTGGGCAAAATATTCAATT